ATTGGTGCAAACTGAGATTGATAAGGGAAGCAATAAGCCTCATTCACAGATTTGCCTCACTGACCCCTACCCCATAGGACTGGGGACTGAACCCAGGTACTTGTGCTTGTCTAAATGACAAATGTCACCCTTAGTTTCTGACATCTGAATGTTCTCAGTTGGTGGCTGTTTGGGGAGGTTTGGGATGCAGCCTTGCTGGAGGAGGAACGTCATTGGGAGCAAGGTTTGGGAGCTTAAAGAATTGTACCATTTCATCTACACTCATGCTTTCTGTTTTCTTCTTGTGATCCCTTTGCTCTTTCTGCTGCCAGGCCTGCCTGCTGCCACACTTCCTTGCTGTGACAGTAATGGACTCTTACCCCTCTGTAACCATGAGCCCAAAATACACTCTTTCTTCTATTGCCTTAGTCCTGGTGTTTTATCAAGGCAACAGAAAAGTAATCATAAAGCATCGTTTGCATCAGACAAGAGCTCTACTGTCAAGTTTTGATAATTTCATATACAAGTACTATATCATTTTCCTTAATGTTCCTCCTGGGTTCCCCCAACTCCCTCTTTTCCAAATTCATGACCCTTTCTTTAATTACTATTGTCACACACACACACACACACACACACACACACACACACACACACCACCACCACCAACAACAACCTGCCAAGTCCATTTAACATTGCTCAGATATCTAGTGTTTAGGGCTGACCACTTGAAACACTTTTTTTTTTATTTCAGTGTGAATATTGGTTCTTCACACTACCTTAGTCAAGAATAAGGACTGTCAGTGGAAATAGATGGTATATGGATTACATTTAAGAAGTGCTAACAGGAAAGGGCTTAGCCCCCATGCCTGATGACTTGATAGTGAGCCCTGGGACCAACATGGTTGAAAGAAAGAACTAAGTCCCATAAATTGTATTGTAGACCTCCAGGTGTATGGCATGGCACAAACATGTTAAGTAGATAAACATAGATACACAGATACACAGATACACAGACACAGACACACACACACACACACACACACACACACACACGTCATACACATAAAATATTTATAAGAAGTGCTAACAGTATCCTTTTCTTGTAGTTAGAATTGTGTACTCATTCATTCATTCAACAAACATTAACTCCTGTTATGTTTCAAATACTGAATTCATTCCTAAGAACAGTCTCAAATTTCTCTTCACTGCAAGTGAAGAATAGTGACTGCAACAAAGAACCGGGCTGGTAATGGTGTAAGGGTTGGGATAACTCCTTAAATGGAAACCTGAGATGGGCAAGGGCTCCTACCAACAATACCAAGAGGCAAACAGAGGTATCAGTGGACCACTAGGTGTTGAGGTGACATTAGGTGAAAGGAGAAAAGTACATGAAAGTTTTACTGTACATAGTGGACATCGAGATGTACTCCAGGAAGGGGGTGAAAGGATAACTGAACTGTGGTACATAAGTCATGTACATGTTAGGGAAGTGCAAAGTGGAGGAACTTAAATGCATATATTGCTAAATTAAGCCATTTCTGGAAAGTTCCACATTGTATTGTAAGTATATGATATTCCAGAAAAACAATGGAGACAATACAAAGATCAATAGTTTCTAAGAGCTTTCAAGAGAGAGGGATGAATAGGCAGAGCACACAGGAAATTTATAGTAGTAAAAATCCATATGGTTTCCTAATGGTGGAAACCTATACAGTGGCTAGACTATAAATGGATTGCCTCCGGCAATGGTCCATATAAAAAGGCTTGATTTCAGGTAGACTCCCATGAGTTCAAGAGCAGCCTAGGCTCCAGTATGAGACCTGATCTCAGAAAATTAAAACAACACAAAATATCTAAAGTCAAATAGAGCTTGAGGCAAATGAGAGATATTTTTACACTGTAAGTTAGAAAGAATGGCATATGTACACCAGTGTCTGGTAAATAGTAGTAACTTGGCAAATATATGTTGAAATACTGGTTATTTGAATACAAGCTTGATCAAAAATCACTTTCCTGGTTATTTTCTTTGTTTGAGGTTTTTTTGTTTTTTTTTGTTTTTTTTAATCCCAAGTGCTGGGATTAAAGACATGCGCCACCACCACCTGGTGTTGTTTGAGGTCTTTGTGTCTTACTCTGTAACTATTTTTTCTCTATCTTCTTTCCCTCTGGTGAGGCACCCATGAAGAACCAAAGAAAAATCTTGTCTTCCTCACCTTAATTTTCTAAGTGACTTCTTTCTCTTCACTAACTTGGCTACAGTAGCTAGATCTCCAAGTGCTCTGCACTCTCTTGTGTGGCCATAGCCTCCTTGCCTTTACCTTTTCCTGCTCTGCTTCCAATCTCTTGGTCTTATAAGTTCTTTGCATTCATTCATTCTCTGGCTGTACTTCCCACTTTATACATCCAAAACTAGACTCTTAAAATGCACTCCCTGTCCTCCATCTTCACAGTTATCCCAATTCATTGACGGTGGGCCTAATAAGAGTCTCTAAACCATCTACCTCCTTTTATTCTTCTGGGACTACTGAGCCCCGCTGATGAGCTTTGCTGCTGTCACACAGCCCAACTTCCCGAGTCTTCCTATTGAGGGCCCTCATTTACTCAGCTACTGTCTTCAATAAACATCGATTTGAAGACTTACTATGCATTAGGCCCTGTTCTAGATGCTGTATTTAAAACTGAAATCAAGACAGATAAAAACCCTGCCTCTCATTGAGGAATTGAATATATTGGGTACTTAAACAACAGAAGGAAACAAATGTACAAGGTAATTTTGCTTTTCATAGACACAGACATGGAACAAAAGAAAAAAACTAGCACTGATTCCTGAAGGAGAAACTCATGCTGATTGAAAAATCACCATCAGTGCTCCTGTATCTTTCTCTCCTATTCTTTTGTTCTTGAAAGATAGCTGGATATATGCCATATCTATGTTTTTATTAGGTCATCTTTTTAGCTAAAAAAATAATGTAATAATAACAACAACAACAATAATAATACCTCTATTCTAATCACAATAGCAAGGAAATGGAATCAGCCTAATGTCCATGAACAGAAAATGTGGTACATACACAGAGGAGTTTTTATTGAGTTACAAAGAGAATTTGAGTTATGATATTTTCAGTAAACTGGATGGAACTGGAGAGTATTATATTAAATTAGGAAACCCAGGCTCAAAAAGTCAAACACCATATGTTCTTTCTCATATATAGATCCTATCTGTGGACTTCTATACATGTGAATTTATATAGGAATGAGTGTGCTTAGAACCTTAAAACCAGCAATAGTTTTTTGAGGCTGTAATATTCGACCTTCCTCTTCTAGTCCCAATCCTGCAGATCAAAACTAGGATCTCATGCGTACAAGTTGAATGCACAAAGATGTCTATTTATGCTTTCTTTCTGTCTGGAATGCCTCTCTTTCACACCATCCCTCAAGTTCAGTACCTTGCAAGCTTCTTTAGAACAAGGGCCCCTTAAACCCTGAACATTTCCTGCCTCTACCTTCAGGAGGTAGCATTTGCTGTTGTTGACTTAACACTGCACTGAATAAACAATGCCATTGCTTTGGCACTTTATCACACGTGCCCATGTTTTACACAATCATCAATAAAGAGTGGAAATGTATAAGGGCTTCAGCTACCAAATATTTGCCATGTTTTATGAAAATAAGAATAGATCTTAGCATAAGAGACATGATTACATTAAAACATGTGGGTGATACGACAAAATTATGAAAAGTAATTGTAAAATTTCAGAAAATCAGAATGTGTTCTGATTTCAATAGTTATCTGATATGGAAAGTTTTGTGAAAATATTATCCCAAAGAATTTTTCTTTCACCTAAGGGAGTTTTTTTCATTCTTTTTTTTTTTTCAGAGTACATACAACTTTAAAAGAGAGGTAAGTTTTTCATGTTCAAAAATTCAGTATCTATTATATCTACTCAAACATTCTGGTTACTGTCCAGATATCTCATCTGATGCTTTCCATATTCCATATTCTTTTATCATTAGTTCTGGATCCACTAGAAAGAACTTTTTTACTTTGTCTCTCAAGAAGCCCAAGCTATTTGACCTTCCAGGCATAAAAAACCTCTACAGTTTTTGGAGAAAATGTGGTTACTTATTCCAAGTAATCTTGAAAAAATGAAAACAGTATAATAAAAATTTTTAAAAGAATATTAGTATTTGTATGGCAAAACGAGAGCATCTGCCATGGCTGGCACTCTGAGAACAAAGACACCCATCTAGGAATGCAACAGTCATTCTGTAGGCCACTCCTACACTTACAATAGTTTTCTATTGCCTAATTCAATCCCAATACTTAGTGCAATCTTCCCTAATTATATTTTGTAACAATTATATATTACAAATCTTGCTTTGGGAACTGAGATTACTTCTCTGAGAAGAAAAATTATTTACAGTATTATGAAATCTAAAACACACTCTGATGCATCCTACAAGCTGAGGCCCTGGCTTTCTGGCCATGGTAAAACACCCTAAGGTGGTTCTGAGGGGGCACCAACACATCTATCACTGAGTACTATATCAAGGAATAAAATTTGTTAAAATATAACTAGCCGAAGTCAAATACTCCAGATTTATTTTCCCGTTGGCAATATATTGGTATTATAATAGCAGCTTCAATCTCCCAATAAATATACTTGAATACTAGCTACACGTCAGAAGGTGGAGCTCTAAACATATCTGAAATGCTGGTTCCAATGTAGTCCACAAATGTGTATACCGAGGGGGTTGAACAAGCATGAATTGTTTGGAAAAACCTTCTAAAGAATATACTATCTCTTTGAGGATGACATCACCCACATCTCCTAATACAAGGTTCACTAGCATAAAAGGCATACAGTAATTTCCTGGTAACATGTCAAAATATTTCCTGTTATTAAAAACTTAGATGTTTGTGAATCCAACAATAAATATAAAGTACATTTAAAAGCAAAACATTTTTGAAAAATCAGGGCGACCTGGTCGAATATGGGTAGGTCACAGGTACTTACAAGCATCTCGGATATAGAGTAACATTGCTATGAAGATGTAGTCAACTAAGCTCAGGCTGAGGCCATCTGCAAACAAGGCATCCCAGACCACCAGCAGATCCTGCAGCGGGAACTCCCTCCCAAACAGCAGCCGCACCCATCTCCTGTACAGAGACCAAAGAATGAGAAAATGAGCTTCCCAGGGGATAAAAATGAAAATTAAAAGAGCTGCAATTTATTAATTGAGCACAGTCAGAAAATACTATATACTGAAAATATAGTGTAATTTAAAAATTTAAGAATGTATTATATAGCAAAAGAAAAGACTGTAAAATATAAGTTTTAAGTTTTTCAAGTTTTATCCTAGACCACAGTGTTACACATTATTCTTCCATGTGTAAAACACAAGAATGACACCTGGAAAGGAGAGAGAATTTTCTTACGAAATAGATACCACAAATCTTTACTAAGAAAAGACAGTACTATGTAGTCAGTGCAGCAGTTGGGATATATTTACAGTTATTCATTGTTAGTCACTGAAAATACCATTTCATAACATTTCACTTTCTCTATGAGTTTTGTTAACTTATTAGCTTTTCACAAATGTTTTCTCTAATAAATCACCACAGTCAAACTTAGAAATTTATATTATCACAATTATTTTACAATATTCATTTAAAACTTAAGGTTAGGGAAAAATCATTACCCTTGAATGTTTGTGAGGGTGGCAAGTACACAGTTATTGAAAATAAAAAAATTAATAATTCTTTTTTTGACTAGAAATGGTTATCACTAATCAGTGAAGTTGTTTTTCATGGACTGTTTTTCATGTTGCTTTCTTGCCCAGGTATGTGAATAGAGCACAGAAGTCACTAAGAGCCACGAGCACTAACTGTATAGCATATATGACTGGATAGCATAAACAGTGAGGCTTAATACTCTAGACTTCCAGAATACCTATTTGGGCAATTTATATCTAATGTTCACAAGAAAATTAGTATTTTGTTGGATACATTTTGATTCATTGATTTCTAATTTATGCAATAGGGGTACAATTCTTTACACAGTCTTTCCCAAGCACTCCAGCAAGAATTCTATGTAATTCTGTTATATTGCAGAGAATCCAGAAACATTAATTTCCTGTACTAGCAAATAATGCAAAAAATTCTTTAAAAATTAATCACACACACAATTAGCAAAGTTCTTAATTTTTGGCAAAATTTGAAATAAAATCCAACCATCTGGAGGTTAAAGTGAGGTAAAACAAAACCCTCCAAGCAGAAACAAACACTTGGCTCCAGGAGTATTGTAGTAAGGCAGAACCACAGCTGCGTCAAAACAGTCTGTAACCAAGTTTGTATATATCACCACAGTTATTAGAAACCATGTGATCAAACATATTCATATTATCAAACTAATCAAGAGTAGTTTTTCTAGAATGTATTTTATACTACAGCCATTAGTCTTTTTTTCATTTAAAAATAAATGCCTAGGTAAATATTTTTAAATGTTATAATAATTTTTACATTTAATCTATCTTTCAAATCTTAGTGTATTGCTAAAATAGAGTGGTTAACACAAAATGCATGTACTTTTCACTTTTGTAGCTAAAGAAAAAATTACTATGCACTTCTAATTCTTACAAATCATTGAGTCTAATATGTACTAAATTAATGGCCATTCTTCTAAATTAGGAAGAATTAACTGGTCTTAGAAGAGTATTGGGGAAAGCGAAAGTGCAGAGAAGTTTAAATGGATACATAAATATCTACACTTAAATGACTAAAACATTCAGAATGTGTTTACTTACAAATATTTAACTAACACAACTGAAAAAAAAATTCTGTCAATGAATAAAACGAATGAATGATAGTCCAGGACATGGGGGAAAAAATACCAAACTGTCTTTCTTAGCATTCTTCACAGCTCAAATGTTGTGTAAATTTCATGACATTATTTCCAACAAAAGAGTAGGGGTTTTGTTTGTTCGTTTGTTTGTTTTTGAAGAGACAATTTATCTCTACAACAAAATGCTAGTTACTGCTCAAACTTCTCTTGCAACATTCCTGTTGGGTGAGGGTTATATTAGCTTGGCTTCAAAACGAGTTCACAGGCACTTGCATGAGCTGTGTCTGCTGCAGCACTGCAGAAGGGACAAGTGCCAATCCTCATCCTTCATTGTGAAGAGGACAGTGCTCAGTCTCCAAGTATTCTCACGTGTGTCGTCTTCACAATTATGTAGAACACACATATTCAGCACTTTATGTTCAATGCGAAGTCTGTAATGGGATTTTACAAACTTCCACATTGCTTCACTCGAATTTTATCTTGCCAAAGTCTCTGTTCCTTAATTGCAGAACGAGGAGCAAATACACACACAGGGCAGGAGAGGCTTTGATAGAGGGGAGGAGTGGGAAAGAGAGGGGTGAGACCTCAATGCTCTCTCTCTGTGATGTGTACTGGGGTCTTGTGAAGCCACCTACCATGCTACTGAAGAGCAGAGGTCTAGCATAATCGGAAACACAAGAATTGATCTTAGTAATAGTAGCACAAACACAGTTCAGGAAGTGGAGGAAAATTTAGAAATATGTAAGGAATGACAGGTTACTGCTAGATAGGTAGTATATTACTTTTTATTAATTTGCTAATTCATGTATTTCTCACTGTGTGCATGATGGGTGTGTGCATGCCATAATGCCCATGGTGAAATCAGAGTGCAGCTTTCAGAGTTTAGCTCCCCCTTTCCTGTGGACCTGGGCATAGAAACCAGTTCCTCAGGGTTGTGCTACAAGTACTTTTGTGTGTTGCACCATTTATTTGGCTCAGAGATGTTAATTTATATGAGACCTAATAATTTATGTGTGTAATAACACTGAAGTATAATCCCTATTTTCTGTTTTATAATATGGGGAAATTAATGACAAATTCCTAACTTTTAAGACTAAAGGATATGATTAAAAGCAAGGGTAAGAAATTAACAAGGAATTTATTAACAATCACTTTACTCCAAGTAGATTTAGTTTACATATATACTCAAAACGAAAAACTTCATGTACTATTTCGGTGTCTTTTTTTTTTTTTTCACTGATTTAAAAGCAAAGGAAAAATTCAGTGCTTTATGGAATGAATTACTAATAGACATTGTTTCAGTAAGCTTTTATATTCTCAGAAAGGAAGATCTACTTAAAAAAAACAAGGCCTTATAAAAAAAGTTATGTCTACAATTAACATGCTTTTATTGCAGTTAAAAATATTTAGTGAGTGCTAAGTTACACTTAAGGGTAGCATTAAACCTTTCTTCCCCTTAAAGACACTTCAGTTTAATTGCTTGATACCATTAACTTTGCTTTTCAGATGCTGTACCTGAAGACAGCAATGCTCACACACTTCATGGCTTGTGATGACACAGGGGTTCAAACATTACTAGATCTATGTAGCAATTATAGCTACACAAACAGAATGACTATCCAAAGTACTAAAGTTAGCAATAAACTACTCAGAGACAGGGCAGTCTTCAGTGTCTCTCAACTATCAGTTCTGTGTAATGAAACTGCTTCTCCGGGAGGATCATTAACCACTGATGGTGTTATTGCTTAGGGAATGGTGCATGGAAACACCAGGAGGAAATTGATGCATGGGGATGACCAGCTTGTAGTTTAACCAAGCCAATACAGGTATGGAGAATATATATGCATATATACACACATATATACCCATACATCTTCTTTTCTATTTTCTCTTCATGACCACTTTGTATGGGATATGGCTATCACAATCACACAAGAACAAGCTAGGAAAATGTATTCAATTTAATTTAACAAAGATCAGAAAAGAACCTAGTTAAGCATGGTGGTTCGTTCCTTTAATCTCAGCACGTGGGAAGCAGAGGCAGGCAGATCTCTGAGGTTGAACACCTATCTGACTGAGTTGAGGCACTTTTTTATGTGGGGTTTTCTGCAGTTTTTTTTTTAAATGAATAAACTGTATTTACATCAATCCTGTGAGAGTGGTCTCAAAAGTTGCAGCTATTATAGATAGGGTCACAAGACACTGTCAGCTTTAATTATTACATTTTTTTTAAAAAATTAAAGTTACAAGGAATGTATGACAAAATAACTTCCAATTTCATAGTTATTATTTTTCTAAAATTTCAGTAGAATACACTATTGGAAGATAGCTAACCTACTTGGTAAGGCATTTTAAAAACCTAGTCATTTATAGATAGACTGGTACACAGATAATCAGACAGAGAGTATAAACAGAGTTTTGCTACATGGAAGAATAACCATAGGGCATACAATTAAAGTGGTATATCTTTAGTGCAACCCCTACACCAAGGCTCAGAGAACAGAACAGAAGAGGGGACTGCCTAATGGCAATATCAGCTGACATGTCAATGTGAATAAGAAAAATTTTACAAGTCCTTACTTAGATGAATAGCTATAGGCAATAAATGGCTGCTAAGAGAGATACAGTCAGTTGAGAGGGAAGTACAGAGGGCACAAGAAGAGTTGGAAGGAGTAGAAAAAGAGACAGGTGTTGGGGAATATTATTTTAAGGTGTGTGACTTTTGTTTATGCTGCATTTGTTTAGCTATGTGAAGCTGTGATTCTTTGCCTGTCTAAAACACCTGTTGGTCTAATAAAGAGCTGAACAGCCAATAGTGAGACAGGAGCAAGGATAGGTGGGGTTGGGAGGCAGACAATATAAATAGGAGAAGGAAGACCGAGAAGAAGAAAGAGAGCAACACAAGAACAAGGGCAGGAGAACATCAGCCAGCCATGGAGTAAGAGTGAAAGTAAGACTTACAGAAGAGAAAGATAAAAGCCCAGAGGAAAAGGTATATGGGTTAATTTAAGATAAGAAAAGCTAGCTAGAAACAAGAAAGTTAAGCCAGGCATTCATAAGTAATAAGGCCCTGTGGGTAATTTACTTGGGAGCTGGGTGGCAGACTCCCTTGAAAAGACAAAAGAGTAAAAAACAGCACACAATTACAGATGGGGAATATGTAAGTATAGTAATCATGTATAAAATTCACGAAAATTTCAACCTTAAAAAAATTCAAATTTGTTTCCTATTTCTTGTGATCCACAGGTTGTACTGCGGTCAAGTTTGGCTTTCTAGGAACACATATGAATCCTAAGTTAAACAAACATAAGCATAT